GGTCAGAGCGGCCAAGCCCACCCTGCTGCTGCTGTGACGCTGACTGGAGGTGGGTGCCTTCGCAGCTCTTGAAATACCAAACTGTCCGGAGAGATTGATTTCCTCCCCAGCGCCGGGGCTCGGGCGGCTTTTCTGCCCGTAATCAGCGAGCGGGGCAGCAGAGGAGGTTAGGCTGCCCTGAGTCAGGGAACACGGTGATAACGGGAAGTTTCCACTGAGCTTTTTTAGTTCCAGTACTTGTTCCCTGGCTTGAGTCAAAGCTGCAGTCAGCTCATAGCGTTCCTCACACTCTCTGCGCACTGTTTCCTGGAGAAGAGCATTCTGCAAACAGAAACAAACACTGGCTTTACAAAGTGCCATGAGTCAAGACCTGGGTGTACTCAGCTCCTCCGTCTTGAGGCGGGGGTGCCTGGAGGGTACTGATCCATACAACTCCTCCAAAGCTTCCCCGTCTTTTGGTTTCTCTGAAAGTCGCTCAAAGGACACACATCAGCGCTCACACACCCTTCATCCCCTCAGGAGACAGTGGAAAATCAGAGGTAAGTTATCAGAAGTCACTTCTCCTCCCCTGCCCATTCTCCAGCGTGGGGGAACCTGCGAATGCTGCTCTTGGAAAGGGAAAAGCAACGTCCAGAGGTTGCGCATTGCTGCGCCACTGCACTACGATGAGGTGTTCAGGAAGTTCTCCTCCTCTGTAGTTCAAATAATTCTGCAAGGATTTTTTTGTGAGGGCATTCTTTATTGATTATTATTTCCCAAAAATAATTATGACAAATGATTTTCAGTCACAAACTTTGTATTGTGACTACCAATACCTAAACGGTGGCTGGCACTGGGCCTTGAGCAGACAGCTGAAACTGTGTCAGTACTACAGAAGTCCCTAAGCTGGTGTATCACGCAGAACTTACTTGTGATGCTCATTTTCCCGGTTTCCAGCTGAAATAAAAATTAAATAAAACACAAGGGACAACATCACTAAATTGATTCAAAAGACAGAACTACTGAAAGTACTCGTACAAGGAGAAAACACCCACTTTGCTCTTCTTCTAAGCAAGCCATTGACACCAGGAGGTCCACGAGTAGGGAGGGGAAGCCACCACCAAGGCAGTCCCCAATTCGGAGAGTGGGGATCGAGTCAAACGGGGAACACCCTCAGGCACGCACAGCCTCACTGCCCCAACACAAACTCTTCTATGTGAACTTCTCTAGCACGAAAAGCATGAGCTGTATGCCGGGTCAGGTCACGCATCGCCCTGCGGCGAGGACAAACACTCACATTTGAAATTCTCTGTGTGAGTAAGACTGTGGGTGTATACAGGGAAGACAATGTGTAAGAAAGATCATCTCAACAGCACTGTTTTGATGTTTTTAAGAGCAAATACTGGTGTCAGAAAGGTCAGAGCACAGAAATGTGTTCCCACTAAAGTGGAAGGCAGCAAGCTCTGTTTAGCCAAGAAGAGGTTATTAAAATTATTACATTTTTGCATGTGTGCTCCCGTCAAAACTTCAAAAATCATGGTGAAATGAGAAGTCCTTTGTTGACCTATTTTTTTAGATTTTAAAATTTTACTTTGCTCAAAGCATCTGTAGTGCATGCAGAGTGGACTCACAGCAGTTCTGCTCAGGCCGTCTAACCTCTGCGCCAACTGCAGCGCAGGCGCTGCTGGAGAAGGAACATACTAGATGAAGAAGTGGGAGAGATGCAAACAGCCAAATTAATTTATCCTCTGAATACCTAACTCTGCAGACAACTTGATCAAGGTTAGGCATTACTTTCCCTGCCACTCAGGTGGTCACTGGTAGTCCATGAAATGATTTCAGAAGTGTTACCTGCAAATCTGAGAAAGTATCCTGGTGCGAAGGCTATCTGAAAACCAGTTTCCATTTTCAACCACTCTTATCTCCCCGTTTCCTAATATAATTCTATTGGAGGAGGAACTCTGCTTCAGAGTGGAGAAAACGAAGAACATAAGCAGAGCTGGTGGAATCTCACAATTCAGGGTAATAATGTCCCTCACTCCTCGGAAGCTCCTGACCAATACCTGAAGAGGGCAAGTCTTTCCAAGAGCCTTTCCCATAGCTACGGGACAGAACAACTGCCAACTTCCATTCTAATTTCATTAACAAGAGTGTTTCTGAACATTTTTCAAGGAAGAAATAAAGATCAACCCAAGCCCTAACTCATTTTGAAGAGTTTCATTTTCACTGTTTACCGATTTTTTTCTGCCCCTTAATTACTTTGGACATTCCAGCCTAATCTTATCTACAGTCCCTGACTTCACTGCTTGCACGTTTCTCAGAGCAGTACAGCTCGGTCTCCTCCCTTCCCACTCTATTTCAAACATTCAGCAAATGCTTGTTGTAAGAACAGCCATCAGTCAAACTCCTCTTCACATTTGATTAATTTTTATGCATTCCTGTGTCACCGTAGAAAGTGGATTTACCGGTGGGAGGTGGGCTACGTCCCCATTAGCACAGCAGGATGGACCTGCCTACTCCCACGCTGAAAGATGCAATCTCTGCCGCAGCAGCCACTCCGAACAGGGCTGTGTCCACTCTCATTCCTACTGACAGTATGAAGTTTTCTCTCTAAATTACTTCCAAAATGAGTAAGATTACTGGGAGGATTGCTACTGCCCGGCTCAAAGAATAAGAAATGTCCACATCTTCTACTTTGAAAGCCATGAGGAAGGCCTTATTGTCTACTCGTGTTTATATGGCATGATGTGAGGCTAGTGACTAAGCAACACATGTCTTGCAGGACCTGAAAAATACATATATTTCTAAAATAAACACTAGTTTAAGTGCTTGCTGAATTAAAAATTTCACATATTTTGTGACATATTGTATTTATGAAATTATGATGGACTGGTTTTATAAATCTTTTAATTTCAATGGTTTTTAAACCACAGGGTTTCAGACCCTGTACATAACAGGGTCTGAAATATAGATGCTTTGAACAATTTCAGAAATCACATGTCTTTAGGTAAAAATAGCAAGGCATTTCCTCGGTCATGTTCCTACCTCCTCTTGAACTTGACTCAAATTCTGAATCAGCTGTGTCTTCTCCTGGGTTAACATTTCCAGTTCATCTGACTTCTGTTTAATTTCTTTCCTCATATTATCCAGAAATGATTCATTATTGTTCTTTTCCATCGTGAGCTGAAATTCAAGTTCAGTAATCAGTCTTTTAAGGCTCTGAATTTCTTTTTCTTTATCTTCATCTTTCTCTGCAAGTTTGATCTGGGCATCTTGCAGCTTCTTTTCAAGAATTTCTGTCTCCATCCTTAAGCTGTTGGTGGCACTGGATATTAATCCTGGTATCTGCATTAGAACAGACAAAACTGCGTTAGTCTACATTCGGTGGAGATCGTTAGATATGCAGAATTAAGTACCAGACAAATGTTGACTTCAGGGAAAAAACATACCAATGCAAACATACATGTCCTCAGAGGCAAAATAAACCCACTTTGAATTTACACAATACCCTCAAAGGATATCAGAGAGCTGGAAATTAATCAAAATTCACTCAGAACAGAGAGGTTAATTAGTATGTCCAAGATCAAACAGAAGAATAGAGGTAAAACCAGGAAAACTACTGCTTCACCGCAAGTCGGTATTTCTTCAGAGTTTTAAAATCACAGTCAAATATTTGTAAAGTGAACTAAGCCAAACTGTTATTTTCAGCTCTTTAAAACGCTGTGTGCAATAATGAATTTTAAATAACAATATAATTTCATCAAATTTATTTGATTTTTCCAGAATTCTCAAGAAATGTGTCAAATCTTTTGAAAACTGTAGGTACAATTTTCAATTTCCATACAAAACTTCAAGAACTGTAGGTCTGCGTGGCTGGGAATTGCCAACTGCATGTGAGGCAACCACCCGTACAGGCAAGGAAACAGCTGACTGGCCACTGGGCCCTGCCTCATCGGTGCTGAATTCATCTGGGAAGGGAAAAAACAGCATGGATGGTTTTGTGACAACTTGTCGTAGTGTGAAAGAGTCTAAAGCTTTTGAAAAAATCACAGAATCACAGAATCCCAGCATGGCAGGGCCCTCTGTGGGTCACCCAGCCCAACCCCCTGCCCAAGCAGGGTCACCCACAGCAGGCTGCACAGCGCCCCGTCCAGGCGGGGCTGGAATATCTCCAGAGAAGGAGACTCCACAGCCTCCCTGGGCAGCCTGGGCCAGGGCTCCGTCACCCTCAGAGGGAAGAAGTTCTTCCTCAGGTTCAGCTGGA